GTGTCGAATCACAACTGGAAGTGTGCACTAGACAACCACCAGGAAGTAAAGAGTTCACTTCGATGAAGTGAGTATTTCACAAAGCAAAAGTCTACGTTTCCCATATCTTCAATCTCTCTGTATTAGAAAAGAAGACGATGCCGTTTACATGTACAGTAATCATTAGTTAAGATTCAGCTCTGAAAATCACATAAGCGCAATTTCGAAAGGAGTTTGCGGTTCGAAAAATTAAACAAAATTAACAAGTTAATAAAAGGTTGTACCAATAATTGATGGTAGATCACTTTTATCGTTTTTCATGGTGTAACCAGACTTCTCTTGTCTGCGGGATATAATATTAATTAGTTTTAAAAAAACGTAGCTCAAAACCTATGGTAAATCGACGGAGTTCAATTAGGTTGAAAATGACTTATATGCTGTTTTGGAAACGATAGTGACATCCTTGCTAGAGGCAATGCACTTGTCATCTTGAAGAATGATCTCGATATATGAATGCGCAATAACTTCATTTTATCTAAATCAATGCCTTCCAAGGTTGATTTCGACTAAGATATACGAAAATGCTCGGTAGGATAGCGCAAACATCTTGAGCGATTAGGTTATTACTTCTAAACAATCCATTTCAGCCTTATTTCTGACACGCTTGGAAGTTGTAGGTACAAGAACTAGTTAAGTACGTGCATTTCATAATAAGAACAATCTGACAGGGCAGCAGTATATTTTTACGAATCTAACGTTTCAATCACCACATTATAATCTTAAGTCACAAAAATTTGCAAACTACTAAAGGTTTTAATTATGATAGTGGTTTCAAACAGTTACATATGGTTTACCCTGATCGGAAGTAAAATATGTGAAAATTCACCAGAACCTTTTTGTCAACAACCGCATCAAAACTATGAATCATAAGATATATCCTTGAATCTATACTAGTCGTGCAAGTACAATGTATATGAGAAATTGCACAACACAAAAGAAAAGCATTGCAAGGCTCTAAATGAGTGTCCAAATTTTAGATGTTACAACGGACTATCACCGAGTTTTGCACAGCAATGGATATTTCGTGTTGTGGAGCTGCCTCCGTTGTCACAGCCATTTGAGGTACACCACGTTTAATCTTGTAATCTGTTTCAAAATGAGTCTTAAGCTCGTATTTCGTGGCACCTTCTACCCCCCTACGGATGTGATTGCCCTTACCGATATCATCTATAGTTCAGCGTTATGCGGTGAGTTGTTTCAGATATTGGACCACCAGTAGTCAAAACGGGCTTATTCAGATGCCCAAAATTCAAGGGATCGCAAAAAAAGATTGACGCCACATTTGATCGGCATTCGTGACTGGGACAGGTACCGCCAGTCTGGCACGTACAAGGGGGAAACCATGATCATAGTATCGGAGGACATCGATAGCAATGAGACAATGAAAACCATCGAAATAGATGGAACAAGCACATCAACGATGGCAAATACAAGGAAAACCATTGAGGAAACTGATGAAACCTTATCATCTTCTACAATTATGCCAAGCACGAACGTAACAGAAGCCAATCTAACGTCTGCGAAAAATTCACAAGAAAAAGAGTTTTTGACTGTAGCATCGACTACTTCAGCCACTGATGTAGTCGCCAACTTCATGAATCTTTTGAAGCAGGCAGCACCTGTTTTGCCGTACATTCCCGTATTAATGAAAACATTGCAGTCTGTAGATCTCCATAACCCAAGCGAAACAGATTTTGGTACAGGTCAGCCTCTGCAACTGCCTGTTTTCGATGGATTAGCTGCAACGCAAGAAGTGAGACGCAAGCCAGTGCAGGCATCACATTATTACAATACCGACTCGAATTATTCTGAGCCTTCGTTTACAAATGAACCCTCGCTGATAGATCTTGC